ACAGACAGACAGACAGACAGACAGACAGATAGATAGATAGAGACAATATAAATCTCCACTTCTGTTCTACATATAAATAGGCTCTGAAAACAACAGTTTCTATGGTACAAACCTGAACAGTCCGCTGTTTTTATCTCAGTTCAGTTATTTAACTAATCTGTCATATTTAAAATAACTGGGGGGAAGAAATCAGACCATAATGTGTCCCAAGGACATTTGTTCAAAATGTGTTGAGAATTCAGTTGGTATTAAATAATTTCATATCCTTGGCTTTCTGCTGGCCAAAGTATGAGTGAACACTGTAAAACACCATGTGGTGCAAATGTTAAACACCATGTGGGACTAGCAAGACAAGCTATGAGTAAATTCATACAAGTGGCTTGAGGGAATTGAATTTATTTTGTCAGATTTACAAGGTTGCCCAATCCCATAAAGACTCTGGGTGGCATACAACATTTAAAAAAGCAAGAAATATAACAAAGAAAAAAAATAATGCATGTCCAGAAGAGGAAAAAACATCCATCACTGTTATATGGATCATATAAGAGGCATGCCCCCGACCCTAATCCAAGACCTAGGGAAAAAGCTGTTTTTTAAAAGACTGTTTTATCATGTTCAGGTTAGGAGCCATATAAATCTCTGTGGGGATGCTGGAGGCAAGCACCACAACAATGAAGGCCTTCTTCCTGGGTCCCATCAGATGACATTTTTAATTGGCACAGCATGCCAATTCTGTTCAGTCATAGAGGATAAGAGAAACTATCAGAGATAGGTGAAAAATTTACTAAGAGGTAAAGGAGGTCCTCTACAGTGACTGATACTGGAGAAAAGAATGACGTTTTGTAATTTCACCTAAACACTGCCACATTTTTTTGAGCTGTGCCTGTTCATAAGCACTTATCTCTCTTCAGATTTATAGATCAGCCCACTAAAACATCTGGAGCTCCTTTCTCTTACAAGTGTGCCAGATAGACAATGAAGGGCAGCTGTGTATGGGTGATCACTGATCCTCCTACACAGCTAAAAGAAGCCAGGGAAGGATCTCACAGAGGTTTTTCTGTGTTTAAACAAGCAGTCACACACCAAGGCTCCATTCTCTGAAGACATTTTTTGCCCATAGGAGCCACCTAGATTTTCTTCCAATATACAGTCAGGTAGGCAAACATCAAATACAATGCTATTATAATATGACAGGCAGCATTCCACACTTCCTTCTGCCTTGATAACAAACACTGCTATCAACCACTCAACTTGGTGCCTTCCGGATATGTTGGCCATCAATCCCCATTCCTCTAGCCAGCCTCTGTCTTGTCTTGGGAATTGATTCTAACACTTCTGAAGGGCAGCAGGTTGGGGAATATTAGCATTTGGTAGTAAGTGAATAATATTGCTGACAATTGCCACATACCCACGCATTTGCTCACCTTCTTCTCTGAATTCCAATCCAGAATCAGCTAGCCAAGCATGGCTGGTTCTTGTGTGGCTGTACAATATCTGTTGCTGGAATAAGCTTTCCTTCAAAACCCACTCATGGCATCTTTGCTATCAATCATTAACTACCATCTATGCTGCCAGAGAGTGTTAACTCCTTGGGTACAATGCTGTTTGGGAAGGCAGAGCAGATTTGCATAGTTTTTGTCATGCACACTGCACTGCAAGCGCTCTCCCTCTGTTCTTTTTAAATTAAAGGTTCACTCCAGCATAGCAATTATGCATTGGTGCTGCAAACCAGCTACTTAAAACACTCATGAAAACGAGCTGTTCTTTGGATCATACAAAGTCTGATCACACTCTTAAATTTTTCTAGATACTAAACAAACTCTTCCTTCAAGAAACGAAAACCTGCATTTTAACCTTACAGATGCTTTGCAAAGCAGATAGTGTTCCACAATGTCTCTTTGAAAGGTGGGTCAGAAGAATGAGCAGGTAAAGAGGGTGAATAGGATGAAGAAAAAAAAAAAGACAGTTAACTGCATCTTAACTACATCTAGAAGCAGGCATAAGCCAGATCCAGATTTGATATATCTTTCTCTAACTCTCATAATTAAAAAGTTTCTTGGCCTAGATGTTCTTTATACCTTTGCCATCTTGTACCTTGGAAATTATATATAAAGATTCTGTGGTCTTCCAAACACAACTAACTAAACTGCTGTTGTCTTCTGACACTGTGAGATGAATAGCCTTCATTGTGGCAAAAGGATCCATGTCATCAGATGCTTGCAAAATTTACCCATATTATCACAGCAGGGGGCAGCACCTACAATTCTAGTTGATTGGTGGCAGGGGAACGGAGGGGGGAGATCCTTAAATTCATGGATGGTGGACTACCAGAAAAGTTCAGGATTACAGGCTACATGGGGAACTAAAAGAAAATCCTAAAAGAAGGTAATAGCAGCAAACTATGTTCATATTGTTGCCAAGAAAATTGCATAATGATCTTGCAGTCACCAAGAGTCACATTTGATTCAAGGGAGACTTTAGCTTTATTCCCATAATACTGACGGCTTTACACTCCATATGATTAAATGCAAAGGCTTACAAAAAGATAACTATCTGAATGCTGCTGTTCATTAATCTCATGGAACCATCTATGCAAGTCTTTAGCTACACTGCTACAGCTGCTGGTGAGTTGCCAGAATTGTGTTGCCAATAATGCCTACTACCTATGTATGGGTCTCCATATAGCATGTGCTTAGTAGGGAGAATTTAAGACAGAAAAAACAAATTTGCTGCTCATGAGAGTGTGCTAAATTAACAATGTATAGGTGAAAATAAAGAGGATACAAAAACAGTGAAGAAGCATCACTGGCACATCACATATTATTTAGATTAAAATATGTTCCATTTCACTAGCAAACCTACAATGAAATACTAACATTTTATAGATGGCTTGAAAAAATATATAGGATTAATAGGGTCTTGAAAAAGCTTCTAACATGATCCCTACATTTCAAATGGAATGTGGGATTTGGCTAGAGTAGCTGTTTCTGTCTCTTCTGGTGATGGGGGAGTTTGCACGTACCAATCTACAGGCACAGATGCAAATTTCTACACTGCAGAAAACCTGTGATCCCAAAAAATGACTGAACGATCTGTGAAGTAGTCCTGCTGCTGTTGAAGAGAAGCACTCTTTCTTTATCTAACTGTTTATTTTTAAACTGGACTTACACTGGACAACTCTTCAGATAGAGGACACCTTAAAATAGAAATTGTTCTTTGGCTGCCTTTTGAATAGAAACCTGTCTTCTGTAAAGTAGGACATGCATCCTGTGTAGAAAAGGTCTGAGATATTTGCAATTTTCTTCATGTGACAGTGAAAGAAGAAGTTGGTTGAGATTTCTTAGCGACATAAATGTAAGCAGAATACTTCTTCAACCTTTTTCTTGTGGTAATCACCCTTCCTCCTCAGACTGAATTGTTATTATATGAATAGGTTTATGTTAAAGTGGCTGAGGCACTGTGGCAGGTCAACTGTCAAATCCTGGACAAAGGTAAGAGTCAAACAGGTAACTCCTACCTGCTTTTGGTTCTAACCACTCCCATTGTTGGAATGCAGACCAAAACAGGTTTTGAGTTCAAGTGAGATAATATAAGCCTAGACTTTGAGTGTGGTAAGAATACAATTATATCTTTTAAGACTGTTATATTTCCAGTAGTAACACACACACCTTACACACACAAACCACTCAAGTTCTGTTTGTGCTAATGTGTTCAGCGATAAGGAAGTTGAATGTAACCTAATATTTGTGGCTCTAAGAAACAGCTTACCAGTACAGATTCAAACTAATTCAAGACTGAATATCTTCTTTGGAATCATTTTGCTTTTAAGTAACCTGGGTATTTATTCTGCTAGGGAGGAAGAGAAGAAGAAAAAGGGGATCAAGGAAGTTAAAGCTTTGTTGATTCAATGAATTATTCTAAAATTTATATTTGCAATTCTGTCTGGCATGTTTTTGATGCTGTGGCTATTACTGGTTTGTTGTTAATCCATGTTGTTTAAAATAGACATTGCTCCTTTTGTGTTGTTTTTGAATAAGTTAGCCTGAAGTCTTAGAGAAGAACCCTCTTTGGCCAAATGTAATTCTTAAATGTTTAAATGAAATGCTTCATTTATTAAACTAGCTTGCATGGCAGTCACACTGAAATGAGCATTAGTCTGTTTTCATTATTACTCCACAGCTCTCTGGATAGAGAGGAAAACAAACAACATAACTCCAGTGCTCATTTGCCTGTTCTCATTATTGCAAATGCATGCATAGCCAAAGTCTGTCAGTTGACTGGCATCTAGTACTTGATTACCAAATGTGCAAACCTGCTGTTGAATATCACCTGTCAACGACCAATCAAGCTGGGCAATTACCTAAGCACAGAAGGTGGACATCCAAGAAATATGTCTGTCACTTAAACAGATTGTGTCAACATTTCCTGGAATCCTGCCAGTTCCAGTAGAATTAGCACTTCCATGCCACTGGGTAAAAGTTTCTATTTTCAATTCAGACAAATTTTACCGAGCCTTAACGATTTGTCCAGAGAAAGTAAAGCAAAATCCAGATACCCTGGGGATGGGGTAGAATGAGGGTGGGAAAACCAAATGCAGAAACGCCCAGAGAGACACGCACAAAATAAAGTGGCTGTGCATCTACCATATGCAGCTTCCAAAGCAGCTGCATAACCCTTGCAAAAGATACAGCTGCTTTAATGATTCAAATATAGATGCTTTGTCCCGGGGAGTCCACAGGGCATAGTCAAAAAAAGTCTAGATGGTGACCACAACAGTGTGATCAAACTCCATCTATTTCTTCTGTGCATCACACACATGACTCACATAAAACAATCCTGATTTTGAACATATCCTGCAGATACCTGTTTTTGTCATGCTCACATGTTATGAAGCCTTTCTGTTTAAAGAGATGCTAATGCATGGAGTTGATGAAACTACAGAAGTACTAATACATATAGATATGAAAATCAACAGGTTATATCCAGAGCCCTTTCACGAAAAGAGCTTCACAGTTGTCAGTAAATACCTTTACAGGCTTCTGTGATGACCAATGCCAGCTATCAAATTACTTACTCAGCCTAAACTAGTGTTTCTCAGCCTTGGCAACTTTAAGATGTGTGGACTTCAACTCCCAGAATTCCCCAGCCAGAGGTTGAGAAACACTGGCCTAAACTGTAGAATCTCTGCTAAAATATCTATTCTTACCATGTCCCTGTGAGGCAAGGGACCTTTAACCGAGGCATCGTTTTATACATGCATTGTGATATTATATACCCATATGAAAGGGGTGGAGCTTGGGTCACAACAGCTCAATGCTGCGTATTGTCGAAGGCTTTCATGGCTGGAATACGATGGCTGGCGTGGGTCTTCCAGGCTGTGTGGCTGTGTTCTGGAAGTTTTGTTTCCTAACGTTTCGCCAGCATCTGTGACCGGCATCTTCAGAGGACAGGAGCACAGATAGGGGCGGTTCTCTCTGTGCCCAGGATGATGTGACCCTTTTGGCACAGAGAGAACCGCCCCTATCTGTGCTCCTGTCCTCTGAAGATGCCGGTCACAGATGCTGGCGAAACGTTAGGAAACAAAATTTCCAGAACACGGCCACACAGTCCGGAAGACCCACACCAGCCAGCTCAATGCTGCCTTTGTCATTTTGGTTAAAGCCTTGATTCTGCAGACATCTCAGCTAAGGGAAAACATAGATTAAAAGTTCTGCATTTCCTGAAGTCTTCTGGAGGTCTTATAGATAGATGTTCTATTTTCTTGAAAGAGGAGAGGAAACTCGTAACTTTTATGCTGTAAAGCAGTGTTCTTCAACCTGCCATCCTGAAGTTATGGTAGACCTGCAACTTCCAGAAGGGATTTCCAAGAGGTGCAGTCCCAATGCATCTGGAGGGGCCCAACTTAAGGAAGGCTGCTTGAAGAGAAGACCAATCATTTCCCTTTAGATCAGTGTTTTTCCTAACTGGAGCTTGGATGAAATGCATGTTTCTTTACCATTCCTCCCCACAAGCCCTGCTGTTGTTACTTAACTCTTGAGGAGCTAATGCTAGCCACACACACACACACACATACATGTATACATATATATAATCCCAGAAAAAATAATATTTGTGGTTCAACCTTCATTGGAATGAACTATCTTCAGTAACAGACAGACCTTGGCTTTTGTTTTATTTTGGTTTTGGGGGTTATTATTTTGATTGGATTATACTTTAACAGTATCTACACAGACTCCAAGGGATATTGCCAGAATCATAGATTTGGAGGCAGGTCACAGAGTCTAACCCTGTGCTCAAATAGGAGATCAATAAACAGGCAGCAGTTTAGTTTCTACCTGAACCTTTAAGGTAATTGTCTCATTGTTGAATTGTTCCTATCATCCAGAACCCAAATCTATGCTCTTATAGCTTAAACCTCTATTCTCTGGGGTCTGTTTCTGCTCTTTCCTATATAACATCTCTTTAGGTATTTGGAAAGTGC